GGTACACCTATGAGAAGATCGCCATCTGTATTGCTGAATTCCTAGGCATCATAGCTCAAAGAAAATTGCTCAAAGATGCTTCATGCGAGTTTCTAAAGATTAAACCTGTCCATTAAAGTGGAAGCAAAAAATATCACAATATTGAAGTTTGCAAATTTCTTAGCATTTCAGATTGTCCCCGGCGTTATCCCCATTCATGAGCAGCTCCATCCCGGCTGCAATATCGACGTCCATGGGGAGGTCGTACATGGACATCACAAGTGAGAAATTCAATTTGGAATCCAGGACTTCCGATGAGCAAAAAAATTTAGGGATTTTGCCGTTGAACTCGTCTCAGGACCTCACATTGTACTTCATGTCAATTTCCGTTTCCATCATACACATGAAGTCGTAATGAACTCGGCAAGCCATGGAGCTTGGGGCACTGAGGTAAAGCGATTTGCAGCTAGGTAAGATTAAGAAAGAAATCAGTGAGATTTAGATAAAACACAAAAATCCCCTTCACCATAATGATCAGTTCCATCTGCACATCAGTGTACACCAGAGCCACTACGAGGTATTCTTTCACGAAAATTATTGGCATGGAGAATACAGCGGCATTTAGATCAGCGTTAACGGTCATCATCTTGCTGACTACACTCACCGCTTCCCAATGGAATCGGTCCAGGGAATCGGCTTGAAAGGAGATGTTAAGGTCAAGAAGGTTGAATTCAGCGGATTCGCTTTCCGTGTTGGTAAGTGCAGAAATTTTTTTTTTGAAATAGCCCTTGCAATTATTCTGCCGATTTTACAGACTGGAACTCTCATCGCGATTATGGACATAGTGGTTACAGCGCATATGGAACTGACAATTATCAACCACCTGCGGTAAGTATTACACGCTGTTTCAGTGAGAGTGTCAGATCTGCTGCCGCTCGCTCGGCTTTGCGCGGGAAATGCGCAGATGAGGCGCAAATGCTGGCGAGCGTCATCAAGATCTTGTACATATATATCACTCTGTCCTTCAAAGAAAGCAACATTATCGAAAGGGATTTCGACAATTTTCATATAGAAACTTGATCACTTTACGTAAAAGCGAACAAAGCAGTGATACGCAAGCAGTAATAACTTCCATTTCAGTTCACTAACAATCATGCCTACAACGCCTACTTCTGAGGGAACACATTATGACATTTCTTATAAACTGTTAAGACTTCTGTGATCTTACAAATAAAGATTTATTATTCTATCGTCCTCTTTACATGTTGGATTTAATTGCGTCAAATTTTAAACAGTAATTTTGACTGTGAAGTCAATTGCAGCAATACGGGTGTACAATTTGATACATTTTCCATATATTCAGTTCAGAGAAAGGTTGCCCTTGAAACTTTGATATGGGCTTTTTATCCCTTGCGTAGATAAAACCACGTCGTTAAAGTCTTGCATTTCGGGCTCTTAATGAAAGGCAAAACCACTAGCAAATCTTACATAGTTTTCGAGAAATCTTAAAGCACAGTATAGTCAAGTCAATGCAAGTAAAAATAAGTGCGATAGTCACACGCTCAGGTGGAACTCAAAGCAGCTCGCTGCTAGCCAAAAAAAA